CAGGCCTTCTACCACTTTCAGTTGATCAAAGCAGAAGTAGGTCAGTAGGTCAGCCTGGATTCAAAGGAGGGGACATAAACTCCACTACTGGACAAAGGAATGACATGCAAGTACAGAAAGAGAAGGATGTTTTGGGGGCCATCTTCGCAGGCATCCTACCATACAAGAATTACTTAATTAGGCAGCAGTTCTCCTTCCCCAACCAATCCGTGTGTGCCTGTTTCCCAAACCCCTGCCAGCACTGGATATGATCAGTCTCTTTCCTTTTAAACAAGCCAATTTGATATATTAAAAGTCTATTAAAATTGAATGCATTATAAAATAAGCAGGAGTGAAACCAGTTGTTTCGTTCAGGAAAGAAAAAATAGTAGTAGATGAAGCAACTGTATCAATCCTGATGATCTGGACCCTAGCTTGTCACTAATTTTGCTTTTATCTATGTTTGAAAGTGTCACACTAACTTTGAAAACTGGAGGTCTGTCCGAGCAGGATTCCCAGCTTCCTAGAGACGGCCGTGTCTCCCCCCTTCTGCGTACCTGGGTCAATCCGGGCACACCCAGATGAAGCCGTGCCCAGGTGGGTAAAAAACGGCAGCCCAGGCTCGGGATGCAGGCGTGCGGCCAACGCTTAGGATTAGAATAAAGCGAAAGCACTTCATAGCCCTGCAGGAATGGGTATGAACAACCTCCCCCACACTCCCTGTCTGCCTTCCTCACCCCGTGGACCTCCCCTCGGACCCTTTCCCTGGCGTCTGTACCTCGTCCAACTAGGGGATCCCCTGGCTCAGGAGGAGCTCCCGGTACTGCGTCTCGCGCCTAAAAAATCGGGCTCTTCCCGCCTCCTCCCGCGAGACCGCACCGAAGTAGCCCTAGCCCCGCCCCCATTGGCGGCGGCGAGCCCAAACCCCGCCCTCGGGTCCTCACGCGAGGACCCTGCGAGGCTGTCCGCAGCTGCGCCGGACTTGCTGCACCCAGTGCAAATTCAGACACTCTCCCACCCTGGGCTGCGCTCCGGGGCGGCCGTCTGGCCTCGGGAATTACGCCCCGGGGAGCAGAGGCCGGCCGGGCGACGAGCTGCAGTCCGGCAGTTGGTGGGGAGGGCTGCCTGGACGAGGCGCCGTGGGGGCTGCACCATGGCGGCGGCGGTGCGCGCGGCGGGCTGCCTCCCTGTGCT